CGCCGCCCGGGAACCCCCAGCCGGCAGCGGTCGCCGCGGGGTCTCGGGCGGAGTGCTGGCCCCGCCGCGCCGGGGGAGAAAGCGGAAGCGAGCAGTGCACCCCCTTCTTGGAGTCCCCCTGGGAGCGGGAAGAGAAGCTGGCGGCCTCCTTGCTGGCCCCACGCCCCACGTCCCTAGGTGTGGGGGTCCCGGCAGCTCACGCTGGAACTTCGAAAATTTGACCGCGGCGCCCCGCCCCGCCGCGCCCCGCCCCGCCCCGCCGGCCGGGGACAGGATAGACCCCGCCCGAACCCCGAGAGGCCGCCGCCACGCACCTGTCACGGGGCCGCCAGCGCCCTCTCAACGGGGGACCCCCCGCGACTCTAGCAGCACCCCCAACCTCCGCTGGTCCCCGCCAGGACCACACGGGGCCCGCGGGGCGAGCCTCTTGTGCCCACCCCCGCCCCGCCGGTCCCGCGAGCCCCTCCCGACCGCTGACCTCCTCCAGGTCTCCAGGGCGCCCCAGGGGACCCCCGCAGGCGCGCGCCATGCTCCAGCTCCTGGCACTGCTGCTCCTGCTGCTGCCGCCGCCGGCGCGCGCCTGGGAGCCGGAGCCGGAGCCGGAGCCGGAGCCGGAGCGGGAGCCGGCAGCGCAGGACGTGAGCCTGGGTGTGGTGAGTGCGGAAGCCTGCATCTGCGGGGGCTGGGCGGGGGCGGGGGCGCCTCAGCCCTCCGCGGGGACTGGGGCTGGGCTCTGGGCACCCGGAATCTGGGGTCGGGTGGGGTTTGGCACTAGACTTGGAGATCTGGAAAGGGGCTGGATGGAGAGCTGGGCACCAGGACTCCGTGGGTCCCCGAGCGTGGCGGCGGGACTCAGGGGCACCCCGGAGGGGCTCCCCGGGGCTTCCTGGATGGTGGTGGGAGCAGAGCCCCACCGCAGGCCCATCTGACTGCCTGGCCCTGGGCTCCTAGGACTGGCTGACCCGCTACGGGTACCTGCCGCTGCCGGACCCCGCCCAGGCGCAGTTGCAGAGTCTGGCGAAGCTGCAGGACGCCGTCAAGGTCATGCAGAGGTTTGCTGGGCTGCCTGAGACCGGCGTCCTGGGTAGGTGCCCCCGCCCTGCGTGCCACCCGCTGTCACCCAGCCACGCGTCAGCCACGCATCCGCGTGGTCAGCGGCGGCCTGGACCTGACCCCGAGTGCCTGGGCCAGAGAGGCCCCGCCTCTTCCCACCTTGCTTCTCAGGCCTTTGTGAGACCCCCCCCCCCCCCGGGGCCTGGCGCCAGGCTGGCCGAGGGGCCACAAAGGAGACAGTTTGGACGTGGGAGCTGAGGGGCAACGTCCGGGGGTCTGCTCCAAAGAGGGGAGCTCCCATCTCACTGTGCCCCCGGGGGCTCCTTTCTCCAAGCCCCAGGGCCCAGTAAGCGGGACCCCAAGGACGGCCTGAGACCATCCAGAGGCTGCCAGGACAGCAGGGCGGGTGTGGGGGCCCAGGGCAGCCCCAAAGGGCAGTCTCACGGTGTGGGATGCCCTGGCCCTAACTGGGGAGTCCTCTCAGCTACTGAGAGGAGCCTGTTGGGCCCCTAAAGTTGCGGGTCCCACGGAGTGGGACTCCAGCCCAGCCCTCTCCCCAGACGAGGCGACCCTGGCCACCATGGGCAAGCCCCGCTGCTCCCTGCCGGACGTGCTGGGGGTGGCCGGGCGCGTGAGGCGGCGGCGCTACACCCTGGGCAGCAGCGTGTGGAAGAAGCGAACCCTGACGTGGAGGTGGGTCCCGTGGGTCCCGCACCCCCCGCCCCCGCCCGCGGGCCCCCCGACAGCTGCCCTCTCCCCCAGGATAGAGTCCTTCCCCCGGAGCCCGGGGCTGCCCCCCGACACGGTGCGGACCCTCATGCACTACGCCTTGAACGCCTGGGCCGCCGAGTCGCCCCTGAAGTTCCAGGAGGTGGGCGCCGGGGCCGCCCCCGAGCCGGACATCCTGGTGCACTTCTCCCGGGCCTACCACCAGGACAGCTACCCCTTCGAAGGGCCCGGGGGCACCCTGGCCCACGCCTTCTTCCCGGGGGAGCACCCCATCTCCGGGGACGCGCACTTCGACGACGAGGAGCCGTGGACTTTCGACTCGAAAGGTACCGGCCCCCCCGGGCACGTCCCCCCGGCTGGGCTCACCCACGCTGGGCCGCGAGGCTGCAGGCGGGTACCCCGGCCGACTGCGGGCCGGCGAACTTCCACTCGGGGGGCAGGGGCGCCCCGTGGCGGGTGGGCGCTGCTTCCAGCAGAACCGCCTCTCCGGAGCCCTCTCACTCCCTGCCCTGTGAGCGCCAAGGCCCACCCCCGTGGCCGCCGCGGCCTTCCTGCCCCGCCCTGCTGGCCCGCCGCCCCGCGTCCAGACAGGCGCTCGCCCGTGCGGGCTCCGTGGCCTGGCCCCCCGTGGACGCGGAAAGTCAGCCCCACGCGGCTTCTCTGGTGTGAGCTCCGAGCCGGGGCTGAGGACCCCAAACGCAGCTGAGTCGGGGTGGCCACGGCCACCCATGGTGACGGGACGTGGGAGCGCGGACTGGGCGCCTGCCCGGCGCTCCTCGGGCCCAGCCTGTGGCTCTGGGTCCGGGCGGGCTTCCTGGAAGCAGGGGCAGCTCCTTCCACGCATGGCGCCCACGAAGCGCCCAGGAGCCGAGCGCCCAGCGCTGGGGAGGCGGAGCGGGAGGGCTGCGGGCGCTTGGGCCGCAGAAGACGAAACCACGGAGCCGGGGAGAGGGTCTTGGGGGTCCCGTGGGCAAGTTGGCGCGATCGGGCTCTGAAGGGAGTGGGGAGCCAGGGCGGGCGCGTCCTGGAAATGCCACTGACGGCGGGGGGTTGATGAGGCGCCCGCAGGAGATGGGGCGCAGAGGGCAGCCCGAGGGGCAGAGACGCGTCTGACCCCCTGCGGCCAGGGGGACCAGCAGGCAGGGTGGCAGCCGGGCTCTGGGGGCGGGGCCTGCTGCGTGCCCCCCAGTGCAGGGCACGTGTGGGCGCAGGCGGCAGCGCCGTGGGCTCCGGCGCCCGTGGCGGGGGTCAGCGCCCTGCCCTAGAGCCTGAGCGCCTCGGTCTCGGGTCAGCGCCCCTGAACGTGGGGTTCAGATGGAAATTCCTGTGCGGGCAGCTTGCGGGCCCGTTCTCCGGGGAAGGGACCCCCGAGAGCGGCGGCAGCAGCTGGGGTGAGGCCGGAGGAGCCGGCCCGGGGCTCTGGGCTGGGCCCTGAGTGGACGCGCCGGCGGCGGGCTGCGGGGGCAGGCGTGGGTGGGGCTGGCTTGGGGCCTGCCAGAGTGGCCCAGGCTGCCGGACACCAGGGCTGCCCGCCGGCCGCGGCAGCTGGGCGTCCGCCTGTCTCCTCACCAGAAGTGCCTGCCACGGGGCCAAGCTGGCGAGGGCCTCGCGGCCCAGGGGTGCCCGCCCGCTCCAGCGGGTGCCGGTGGTGAAGGGGCTCGGCCTGGGGCGGAGCTGAGACTAAGGGGTCCCGGGAGCGGCCCAGCCGCCGGGCAGCGCGCAGGGCCTGGAGGTGGACTTTGCGGACAGCCCCGTGGATGCGGCCGGGTAGAGGGAGCCGCAGCCCAACGCCTGGACAAAGGACAGGCGAAAAGGCGGCTGAGAGCGAGGCGGGAGGCGGGAGTGGTCAGGGCCACCAGTCCAGGAACGGCCTGCGCCCAGGCCTGGTCATCTGGAATGAAGTGACCTCCTGGCCTGCCGGCTCGGTGCGGGGCCACAGTGGCCGAGCATGAGGTGCTGAGGCAGCGCCGGCTGGCGTGGCCGCGCGGGGCGAGGAGTGCGGGCGGGGGCAGGGCTGTCTCAGGAAGGGGGTCTTTTGCACGGGGGGCACTGAGGGAGCCCACGGAGAGAAAGAGGTGGGGTGGCGCCAGGGGACGCGCCCCCCGACGGCTGGGGGGTGGGGGCGGGAGGGTGCACCCTAGGGGCGCGCGGTGGGGGCGGGCAGTTTGTCCTGCAGGAGGCGGCCGCAGGGTCCGGGCACAGGGCGGGCAGGGTGGGGCGGGGCAGCGGAGACCGTGGTGCCCAGGAAGTCCCAGGTTACACAAGACGTCTGTTCTGTTTTGATGAAACAGGAAATACATTTTTGTCAGAAAGTGGGGTGTGGGAGTGGCAGCTGAGAGCGGGCAGTGGGGGAGCTGGCTGCCGGCCACAGCGGGGGACGAGGGGGCGGCCGGCTGCAGGAGCCTGGCCCAGAGCTGCTGGGTTGTGCAGGACCCGCTGAGCCAGAGGGAGCCAGGGAGGGCGGGGCGGGGTCGGGGCGTGAGAGATGAGAGCGCTACCTGGTAAAGGTGTCAAGCTTGCACCCCAGAAAAAGGACTCGGTCCTAAGAGCTCAGCGGAGGGCTTCCCCCGCAGCCTAGAGGTAGAGTCCGGGGCCAGGCCTGTCCAGGAGTGACCCACAGGGGCAGCAGGCCCTCCCGTCTCCCCGCTGCTCCTGTCAGCGGTGGATTTTGGTCGATCTGCCTGTCCTGCTCCCCATTCCGTCCCTGGGGAGCCCTCTCACCCCCGTCCTCAGCCCCCGTCTGCGCCCCGGCTCTTCTATGCAAAGAAAGAGCCAGCTCAGGCCATGGCGCACTGGGGGCCACGAAGGCCACTGACCACAGGACAGCAGAACGCGTCCCTCTCGTCCTCAGCCCCGCCCGGGACGGATTGTGCCTGTGCCTGTGAGCCGAAGGGGGCGCGGGGCTCCGGCCGCCAGGACTGCCCTCCCAGCCCTCGTCCAGGCCGGGGGTCGGGGAGGGACTGGACTTCGGATTCGCCAGGTCACTTCCACTGGCCCCTCCGTGCCCGGCTAGGAGCCGTGGGCAGGTGAGCCTGCGGGCCTCACCTGTCTGTGTCTCGCCTCTGAGGCTGGGCGCTGGGCGCTGGCCCCGCTGCTCTGGTCCTGCTGCTGATGGCCACGGGGCGGGGATGGCCAGCTGCTGGGAGCGGGAGCAGCCTCCTCCTGGCGCCTGGGCTGGTCCCCAAGGCAGAAGCCAGTGTGGTGAGAGGGAGAGGCCCCTGGGCCAGCGGCTGGGGCCCGAGGCTGCAGCGCCCTGCCTTCTGGGGAGGTGATGAGTGCAGTGTTGGGGGCCTGGAACCATGGGGAGGGGGGCGGCCGCAGCACTGGGGAAGAGGAGCTGAGGACTGAGGCCGCTGGGCCTGTGAGGGGCCCCGGGGACTTGGGAGTCAATTGCCCCACATTCCTGGGGGTGGGCCGTTGGGGCCGACCCCTGACCACAGACTGGACCTGGAGGGGCTGCCCTGGGCTCCGGAGAACTTGCTCGTGGCAGGTCCCGCCCTCCCGGGGGCTCCGCTTGCTCCTGGACCCCGGGAACCCCTCAGGCGTGTCCTGGGGTCTCTTAGTCCTGCACCCCCGTAGCCAAACAGGGCCACCGAGCTTTTTTTTTTTT